GCGGGGTGGGGCACGAATCCGGGGGGAGCCGGGCTGGTGGCACCGCGGGGACAGCAGGGCGACTCCCGCTTGCGGTGCTCGGGGCTGCGGGTTCAGCGCGGTGACCCCGCCCGGGGTCACCGGGGCTCCCCGCCAGCCGCCACCGCGGCCCGGGGCTGGCCGGGGGCACCAAGGGCGTCAGACCTCCGGCTGCACCCCCCGTCCGTCCCCAAAAATCCGCCGCGTGGTCCCGGTTCCTGCGGCCGCCGCCAAGTCCTGGCCATATGTCCCAGGCCGGGAGCAGCTGGCGGTGCCCGCGGGAGCCCCCGGCCCCCGCTGCCCACCCGCCGGCGAGGGGCGGGCCCGGGGCGGCACCGCCGCTGCCCCCCGAGGGCAGGGCAGGGTGGCTCACTGTGCTTTGGAGGGGCACAGAACCGGCTGAGAGGAAGCAGGACGAGGACACGCGGCTCCCCTAAAAGCAGCGGGAGGGCTCAGCCGTGCCACCGGGGGACCCCCGGGGGTGGTAACACCCTAACCCCCAGGTCTCCCCGTTTTCCCCTCTCCGGCACAGCGGGGTGGGAGCACAGGGGCAGTGCCCGGCCTGGAGGGGTTTCCCCCACGCAGGATCGGGCCCGGTGCCACCCGTGTGGCGTCCGTGTGTCCCCCACAGCGCAGGGGGAGGCATAGGAGGTGGCACACCCTCGGGGACACCCGAAGCTCCCCGGCCCCACCGCGACGCCGGGGAATCCCCGCCTGGTGTCGGGGTCTCCCCGAGAAAATCCCTCTGCAGAGCCCCGCCGGGAGACCCGGGACCGCCGCTGCATCCAGGGGACACGGCCATAGCCCCCATGTCCTGAGGGTTGGCAGACACAGACGTGATCCCCCTCGCGACACCCCCAAACCAAGGGGGGACCCCATCCCCATCCCGCCCGCCTCGGGAGGGGACGCGCGGCAGGGGCCACTGTACCTGCTTGGGGCCCCGCGGGTGCGTGGGGCTGGGCTGGGGGGTCCCGGGGGGTGCGGCGGGGAGGATCCGGGCTTCCCACGCCCCCCGTTGGCCGCCACCGCGCCGGCGTCCCCAGACAAAGCCTCCGCACCGGGTTCTCCCTGCGCCTCCCCCACGCACTCGGCTCAGCCAAAGGACAAAGCCGCTCCGCCTGGCTGCCCCCGCCGGGCCACCGCCGACCTCCGCTCGGGGCCACCCGCGGGGGACACAGCCGTGCCCGCCGCCCCTGGCACCTCCACAAAGCCCTCGGCGACGGGGGGGTCTCCCAAAACCCGCCCACGCCCTTGTGGAGCCCTGTGTCCCCGCTGCAGGGCGGGGGTCCCCACCCTGAGGAGGGAGTCCCCCCCAGCGCAGGGTCCCCAGCGGCGGACCAAGGTCACCGGGAAGGTCGCGAGGGGCGGGAAGGCCCCCATGTGTCCCCACGGTCCCCGCCTCGAAGGCTGCGCCCCGCACGTCGAAGCCGCAAGGGCCACGCGGTGCCCGAACCCGCCCGGAGCCCCCGGTTCCCCCCGGGCTCGGCTGCGGCCCCGGAGCCCGCCGGCTCTGGTGGCTGCGGGACGTGCCACCCCAGCGTCACAGCTGTGCTTGTGGCGCTGGGTCCCCCTGCTTTTTGTGGCTGCTGAGCCGGGTGTCACCCCACTGCGCCATCGCTGTCACTCCCCTGTGCCATCAGTGCCACCCCACTGTGCCACCCCAGCAGCTGGCGGCCACAACCGAGGGAGCTCCGAGTGCCACCAAGCCCTTAGCCATGCTCACGCCTTTGGTGACAGCAGCCACATTGTCCCCAAGGACGGGGATCCCCAACTCCCCTGACTCCATCAGCCGGGGGTGCCCCGAGCAGCCGAACCCCGCAGGGAGGGGAGTCCCTGATGTCCCCACACCACAAACAGCGCAGGGAGGGTGTCCCCAATGTCCCCATGCCACAAAGATGTTCCCACGCCACAAACAGCGCAGGGAGGGAGTCCCCAGTGTCCCCACACCACAACAGCCCCCAAGCAGGACATCCCTGCTGTCCCCACACCCACACGGAGGGCGTCCCTGATGTTCCCACAGCTGTCCCCTCCCAAGGCTGGATATCCCCATTGTCCCCACACGCGCAGGGAGGGCGTCCCCACTGTCCCCACACACCACAACACCCCCCAGGCAGGACATCCCCGCTGCCCCCGCACCCTACACCGGGGAACGCCACGCGCGGGGTCCCCGCCGCTGCCACCCCCGGAGTGTCCCCCCCGCCGCTGCCACCCCTGGGGTGTTCCCCCGCCGCTGCCACCCCCGCGCCGGCTCACTTGCCACGGCCCCGTGCTACGGGGAGCGTCGGGGGGCCCCGGAGGGCGGCGGGCGCTGTCGGCTCTCGGCTCGGAGGAGCAACACTGGCGACAGCGGCAGCGTGCGGGGGGGTCGAGGGCTTCCCCGCCCCACGCCCCCGCGTCCCCCCCGGCAGGGCAGTGACCTTGAGGCCGCGGCGCTGGCGGTGGGTGGCAGCCCGCGATATTTTTAGCCGGCCACTGTCACTCCCAGAGCGTCCTCATTGTCACCGCCGGGGGCTCCTCCCGCGTCCCCCCTGCCCCAACTCCCCCCCACCGCCGCCGCACCGGAGGGGGCTGAGCAGGCCTCGGACACCCCGGAGCCTGGGAACACCGGGGAACCCCCGGGGAACCCCTCCGTGGTGCCCCCTCCCCTTGCCACCCCGCCTTACCCCTCCCGGGCAACCCCCCGCCTCTGCGCCGGGGGCTTCCCGCGAGCGGGGGGATCCTCCCGAGCCAGGGGATTCCCGGGATTCCTGCAAGCCACAGGCTTCCCCAGCACCGGTAGCCGCCCCTGGAGCGGAGGGGCGGTGGGGGTCCCCACCCTCGCGAACCCCCCACAAATTCACCCACCTGCCGCCAACCCCCGGCCTCCGCTGCCCTCGGGCACTGCCGCCGCTGACCATGGCCCGGCGGCGGCGACACGTGCGGCGCCGAGCCCGGGATCCCAGCGGGTCCCGGTGGCACAACCAGGGGCCGGGGGCGAGCCTGGACAGCGGCTCCGCCGTGCCGCCGAGCCCCTCCCTGCCGCGCCGTGCCTCGGTTTCCCCAGCGCGCAGGCGGCGGCCGCGGGGGCTGCGGGCGGCGATGCGGCGCCGTTACGATGCCGCTCCACACGCGCAGCCGCGCGCACCCGCCCCGCCGCCTCTCGGGGCTTCCCGGGGCTTCCCGGGGCCTCCCGGTTCTTCCCGGAGGCTCCGGGCCGCCGCTGCGGATAAATCCCGCCGCCTAACGGGGTCCCCTCCCCGCGCTCCGCCGCAGCCGCGGGGCCGGGGGCGATCGCCCACCCGCGGCTCCCCCCCCACACCGGTGACATCGGGGCGGCCCCCGGGTGGGGCTTTGTGCCCCCCGCTAAGGTGTCGGTGTCACCCCCGCGGGCGCTGGCGGTGGGGAGGGGGCGCGGGGTGACCCCGGGTTGGGCGTGTCACACACGGGGTGGGGGGGAGGCTGGAGTGTCGCCCCCTTCCCGCAGCCCCTCCCGGTCCTTTGTCACACCACGGGGATTTGGGGACACGGGGGGAGTGGGGGGGTGAGCAGCGGGGCTGGCACGGAGGGTTCGGGGGGCAGGGGCGGAGGTTTGCGGGGAACAAAGAACGGGGGGCGAGGAGCGGTGAGCATGGGGGTGTGTGCAAAGCACGGGGTCCCTGTCCCTGTGTCCCTGTCCCCTGTCCGTATGTCCCTGTCCCTGTTTGTATGTCGTTGTCCGTGTGCCCCTGACCGTGTGTCCGTGTCCCCTGACTGTATGTCCCTGTTCCTATCCCTGACCGTGTGCCACCTTTCCGTGTGTCCCTATCCCTCTGTTCGGTCCCACGCCCGCAATCCCCGCTCGGCGCCGGGCGGGGGGGATGCTGAAGGGGGGTCGTGCTGCAGAGGGCGGGACCCGGGCGGGAGAGGGCGGGGCCTCGGGGATAGGGGGAGGATGCCCGATTTGAGGCGGGTGCTCGGTTTGGGGGGATGATGCACGATTTGGGGCCGGGGGGGTTCCCCCATGCCAGCCGATCCCGCTGTCCTCCCCCCCGCTCGTTGCCATGGCAATGTCCCGTCTCTCCCCCCACCAAGTGATGGAAAAAGGGGGGAGTCCCCGAGGGGGGAGGGACAGGGAATCCCCTCCCTACTCCGCCCCTCCCTCCACTGCAGCGGGGATCCCCCCCGTTCCCTCGGGAGCCGCTTTGCCGGGGGATGGGGCGGGTGGGATACCGGGACTGCGGGATACGGCACTGCGGGATTCCCCCATATCCCACGGGAAATAGGGGATTCCCCACTAATCCCGCCCCTCCCCCCGCTGGGGGATTCCTCCCTTTAATGGGGACCCCCCTGGCATGGAGGGGCTCCCCCAAATCCCCTAAAGCCGGGGGGTACCCCGGAAATATTTTGGGGTCCCCTCAATTCCCCCTGATCCCATGGGGCCGATTTGGGGGGAGATGAGGGGACACTGGGAATGGGATTGGGAATAGGATTGGGAAGGGGAAAAAGGAACAGGGAATGGGGATGGGAATGGGAATAGGGATGGGGAATGGGAACGGGCAACAGAGAATGGGAATGGGGAACAGAGAATGGGAACAGGAATGGGGATGGGAACAGGGAATGAGGAATTTAACAGCGAATGGGAGTGGGGAATGGGGATGGGAAAAGGAAGGGAATTGGGAAAGGGAATTCCCAGGGGACACCACTGGAATTCGGGAAGGGGAATTCCCGGAATGGAAACAGGGGGGGACACACTGCTGGGGGTTCCTCATTCCAGAAGCAGTGGGATGGGGGATTCCCCTCCTCAGCAACAACCTGGGGGGGGGTCCCAAAGGGAGAGAATACCCCTCAGTCCAAGCAGGAATCCTACCCCCAATTCAAGTGGGATCTTCCACATTTTCAGGGATAAAACTGAGCAAGGCAGGGAAAGTGTCCCCCCAAACCCTTCCCAAATTATTCCTTCCCCAATTTAATCAGATTTTGGTTTTTTTTCTTTAAATTTTTAATTGAATTCAAACACACCAAACTCACACAAAGGAGGGGGGGTGGGGGTGTCACTCCTCCTTGGCTGGATTTGGGAATTCTGGGATGTGGGAACAGTGCCCAGCCCAGCGGGGGCAGTCCCAAAAAGAGGGAAAAGGATGAGCCTGGATGAATCCCATGGGATCTTGGGAAGTTGCATGGCACCTCCAGACCACTTCCTGGGAAGGAATTCCATTCCCAAAGGATGGGAATCCCTCCTCTGGGTGGATTTGGGGCTCCAGCATTCCAGAGGACACTGGGAATGTCACCTGGAGTGCCTGTCCCCCCCAGGAAAGGCTTTTCCCACTCCTCCCTGAGGGATTTTCCCTCTTCCCAATGCTTCTGCCCCAGTCCCAAAGGAAATGGCACTAGGGATTTCGGGGATAGGCCCATCCCAAAGAAAATGGCCCCAATCCCAAAGGAAACAGGAGCAGGGATATCCCAATCCCAAAGGAAATGGGAGCAGGGATTTCAGGGATATCCCAATCCCAAAGGAAATGGGAGCAGGAATTTCAGGGATATCCCAATCCAAAGGAAATGAGAAAAGGGATTTCAAAGACATCCAAATCCCAAAGAAACAGGAGCAGAGATTTCAGGGATATCCCAATCCCAGAGAAACGGGAGCAGGGATTTCAGGGATATCCCAAAGGAAACAGGAGCAGGGATTTCATGGATATCCCAGGAGCAGGGGTTTCAGGGATACCCCAGTCCCAGAGGAAACAGGACCAGGGACACCCAGGGGAGATCCAGGGTCTAGAATCACTTCAGGTTCACACCCCAGGAGCATTTTCCACGTGACAACTCCAGAACTCCAAGGAGGGAATGCCAAGGGACACCTGAGAGCCATTGAGAGCCGCTTTTCCCAGGGAATTTCAGGAACGAGAAGGTGGCATCAGTCCAACCTTGAGCTCGCCCCAAATCCACGGGTGGGGAGAGACAGAGAAAAAACCCCAAAACCCCGCGGGGGTAGAAGGGTCCTGGTGAGGATCCCAGTCCGGGGAGGCACAGGGCTATTGGTGGCTGTTGTAGGGTTTGTGGCGCTGGTTCAGGGGGTTCTCAGGGGACCTCATCCACTCCTTCTTGAGCAGCTGGCGCAGCTGGCTCAGCCGCATGTTGGGGTTGTCCCGCCGCAGGCGCGGCAGCTGCAGCTCCTCGAAGGCGGCGAAGGCGGCGCGAAGGCGGCGCTCAGGGTGGCGCTCCAGGGGCTGGGACACACTGGGGACATGAGGGACATGGTCATAGGGGGAATGGGGACAGGGCTGGGACACGCTGGGGACAGGGAGGGACATGGTCAGGAGGGGATGGGGCATGCAGGGGACAGGGAGGGACATAGTAACAGGGGGACAGGGACACACTGGGGACAGGGACGTGTCAGGAGGGGATGGCAACGGGGGGGACACGGTCATGCTGGGGGACAGGGAGGGACAGGGACACAGTCAGGGGGGATGGGGACAGGGAAGGACAGGGACACGCTGGGGGACGGGGACACATCCCACGAGCCACAGGCTTGAGGAAGGGATGGGGACAGGGCTGAGACACCCCAGGGAACAGGGAGGGACATAGTCATGTCCCTCCCCAGGGACAGTGAGGGACAGGGATATGGTCAGGAGGGGATGGGGACAGGGACAGACATGATGGGAGAGACAGGGAGAGGGATAGACACAAACCCAAAAAAATGGCCCTGATCCCAAAGGGAATGGCACCAGGGACAGCAGAGATGGCCCCGATCCCAAGGGGATGGGGACATGGAGAGACACAGTCCCAAGGGCACAGGGACAGGCATGGAGCTGGTCTCGAAGGAAACAGCCCCGATCCCAAAGGGAATGGCACCAGGGATGGCCCAATTCCAAACAAAACGGCCCCAGGGACAGCAGGGGCAGCTTCATCCCAAAGGAAGTGGCCCCAGTCCCAAAGAATTTCCTGTATTCCCCAATCCCACAGGAATCCCCCACGGATTTCAGGGACACCCCACCCCCACAGGATTTCCCGGATCCTCCAATCCCACAGAAACCCCCATCCCAACCCCTGCCTGCCCAGAACTCCAGGACACAGCACCCCCTCCCCAGCCACCCCAAATCCCAAATTTCCCGCCAGGATCCCAACTCCCAGGGACCACCTTTGGGGGGTGGTTTGGGGGGATCTGGCAGAGATTCGAGGTTGGGGCACACCTGAGGGCAGCGATGGCGTCCTCGATGCTGCGCGCCTCCACAGAGCCCTCCTCGGGCAGCCGCCGGTTCAGGTTCTCCTCCAGCGGCAGCTCCAGGTGCGATTTCTCCTTCTCCCCTGCCGGGAAAACCGGGAATGCTAAGGAACTCCCTTGGGAAAAACGGATCATGCCTCTGGAAAACTCAGGAATTCCTTTAAAACCCCCCAGGGAAAGTCCGTTTTGCCCTCTAAAAACCTCAATTTTTCCTCTAAAAACCTCAATTTTTCCTCTGGAATTTTCCCCTCTAAAAAACTTTGATTTTTTCTCTGGAATTTTTTTTTTCTTGGAAAACTCAATTTTTCCTAAAAAAAAAAATCAAATCAGTTTTTCCTCTGCAAAAGGAAATGTAGGAATGGGAAATGTGGGAATGGGATAGACATGGACATGGAAAATCAAGAAGCCCAGGACCAGGAGTGTAAATCACAGAATTCTACAGAATTCCACATCCAGAAAAGAGCTTTGGGATCAAACACAACACCAAATCCCATCCCCAAAGCGCCACATCCAGGATTTCTTGGGGACAATTGCAGGGAACGGGAACCCCAAGCTTCCCTCAGCCATTCCCAAGGTGTCTCCTGGAGCAGCAGCAGCTCCCCAGCCCAGAATTACAGGGGAATTCCCAAACCTGCATCTGCGTTTTCCCTCTGCTGCTGCTCCTTGCGGACATTCTCCTCGATCTGGGCCCGGGTGATTTTCCCAGGATTTCCCTGCTTGGGGCTTTTCCCTTTGAGCTTGGAGTCCTCTTCCTCCAGCAGCCGCTGCAGCTCCTTGCGGCGCTCCAGCTGCTCCAGGCGCCGCTTCTCCCGCTCCTCCTGGGAGGAAACACGGATTTGTGGATGGATTGATGGATGGATCCATGGATGGACCCGTGGATGGATTCATGGATGGATCCATGGATTGACTCATGAATGGATTCATGGATGGATCAATGGAATGACCTATGGATTTGTGGATGGATCCATGGAGGGATTCATGGATGGATCCATGGATTGATTCATGAATGGATCCATGGATTCATGGATGGATCCATGGAGGGATCAACGGAAGGACCCATGAATTCGTGGATGGATCCATGGAGGGATCCATGGATGGACCCACGGATTGACCCACGGATGGAACAGCTCCAGCTGCTCCAGGTGCCGCTTCTCCCACTCCTCCTGGGAAGGGCACACAGATCCACGGGGGTCACAGCCACCCCAGGAACCTCCTCCCTCTCTGGATTTCGGGATCCCCACCTTCCTCTGCTCCTTCCTCAGGACGTGTTTGTCCTCATCCTTCCAGAGCTCATCCTCCAGCTCCTGCTGCCGCCGCGCCTCCGCCGCCGCCTTGGCCTCGGCCCTGCGGGCGCGCGCCGCCGCCGACTTGCTGTTCTCTCCCTGGAATTTCTTGGGCATCCCTCAAAACCTCTGGGAAACCGGGAAAAATCAGGGTTCTTCAAGGATCTGGGGTTGGATTTTGGGTAAACTGGGATTGAGGTTTGGGGTCAGGCAGGCAGAGCTGGGAGTTTGCACCCTTGGAAATGTGCAGGGATGGGGATTAAAAGTTCCCAAGGTTTCCATCCCCAGTTTCCCTCAGGAATTCTCCAGCCCTTTCCCAGAAATTCTCCAGCCCCTTCCCAAAAATTCCCTAGCCCCTTCCCAATTTTCCTCAGGAATTCTCCAGCCCCTTCCCAGATTTTAGGGATTTGGAGGGGGAAAAGTCCCCAAAACTGAGGAAAAGACTGGGATAGTCCCCCCACATTTATCCCAACCTCAGATTGGGATACCCCTGGGACAAATTTCCCAGATTTCCTCCAGATCCTGGCTGATCCCAAATCTGCTCCCTCCAGGCCAAACTCCAGCCTCCCAGCCCATGGAAAAAGCATCTGGAAGTCCAAAAAAACCCGAGCCAGAAAAACCCGGGATTGAGGTGCCTCTATCCCGGTCCAGGGGGATCCAGAGGAAGAGGAGAAACTCCTTTAATTATGATAAACAGCCCCAAAAACGGGCTGTGATTGTTATCCACGGTGGGAAAAGTCAAATCCAAGGAAAATAGACGATTTCAAATCAACCAGACACGGGGGAAATCACAGCTTGGGGAGCTCTAGGGCGGAATCTTTGATTTTAATGGCAGATAATTATTAATTAAATTAAAGTGAAAATAAATGACTGCTCCATTCCCGAGGTTTGGGAATGGACTCAAGGTCTGGGATGGACTCATTCCTTTCTCCTGCCTAGAACATCCTCGGAGCCATCCTAATATTCATTTTCCTGCATTTTCACACTCCCTAAAATCCTTTTTCGCGCTATCCGAGCCTGCCCAGGAGCGGCATCGGGGCAGGGCCTCACCTGAGGGGCGGCAAAAAGGAACCCCCGAGCCTGGCCCGCCCCCCCCGGCCTCCCTTCCCCGCCACCCCCCGGCCGTGCCCGGTGCCCCCGGTGTCATCCCTTCCCCTCGCTCCCGGCCCGGGCCCGGGCCCGGTCTCTCAGCCCCGCCCAGCCCCGAATCGGCCCCGCTCCTACCGGGCCCCGCCGCCAGGCCGTCGCGCGCTTTGTGCATCATCACGGCACGCCGTCGCCACCTCCCCCTACGGCAGGGGTAGGCAGGGCGCGCCGCCGCCATGTTTGTTAAGGTCAAGGCCGAGCATAGCTGCTTTGAGTCTTTGCGGAAGCGGCGGCGGAAGGAGCGGCGAGATGGGCAGAGAAGACCTATCAGGGCGGCGCGGTGGAAAAAATCCTCTGGGAACTCGCGCAACGCCCACCGGCGGCGGAGGCTGCGCCCGGTTCAAAGATGGCGGCGCCCTGAGTGGCACCTGAGGGTATGAGCGGGCCTTAAAAGGGCGGGGTCTCTGTCAGATAAGGTGGGCAGGGCTTAAAGGAGAGGGGCCCTTTGTCACCTGCAGGAGTCGGCATTGCCACCTTGGGGACGGGGCTTATCATGGTATGGCCACTGTCCCCTCCGTGGGTGGAGCTTGGCAGGGTGTGGCCATTGTCCCCTGGGCTGGCTCCTGAAATTCCGCATTGTGCAGGATGCCTCCCAGACCCAAGCTGGCACCAGTAGCAACTCGGGCTGGTTTGACAGTCCTGCAATCTGCCATCAGGAACCGGGACTGGTGAGTTTTGTTTGCCAGGGAAAAGGGCCGGCCCTGATGTTCAGGGACCTGTGGCCCTATGAGAGTCTGTCCGAATTTTTCCTCATCTGCCTCACAATTGTCATTGGGGGACCACTGAAGAGAAGACCTCCGCCCGTCTAAAATCTCTGGCTCTGAAGGAGAAAGTCACACGCCAAAGGCCCTGAGATCTGAAAGCACAGTGTTAAGTTATTGTTTTCACAGGTGTTGCTTGCTGTATGCTACACTGAGCCCCATGAGAAGAAGGGGCACTGTGCCCTTTTTGCAACAATAGCCTTGGAAGCTGTTCCACCTCTCGGCCTGGCTGGACTTCTCCTCAGTTTCAGAGGGTCTCCCACTGAAGACCTTCACCTGTTTTACAACCACTGTGACAGACAGACTGAGGTGTAAGAAGCCTCTCCATCAAGGACTGAGACATGAAACCCCTATGTGAGAAGGCTCCTCTCTGCTCTTTCCAAGGACTGGGACTGAAACCCCCAACCCAGAGGAGGTGTGTGTGGGAGGCAAGCTGACCGAACCGAGATGTTTGCCTGCAGCTTGTGACCACTGGGCCAAGAAAACAATGGCTCTCATTTACTGCTGAGAACATGGACTAACTGTTACATCTATTCCTTATTGTATCTGTCTCTTCCCCCCTCCCCTCACAATTTTCAATAGAATTATCATAATAAAAATCTCTGAGTTAGCTAGAGATTTTGAGATCTCCCCAACGTAACAGGCGGATCCTCGACTGGACTGGACCAAAGGACTTCTACGCATCTACGTTTGGTAGCTATACCTGCCCTCCCCCCCACACCCCCCCCCCTTCTTCTCTCTTTCTCTGTCTTTTTCTCTCCCTTAATCTCTCTATCGCAGTCATTGATTGTGGTCATTCAATAAAATGCATTTGTTTTGATTATTACTGCAAATCCCCTGTGCCTTGTTGGTTCTTTGCACCCTGAGATCACCCCTACAAACCATCACATCATCCATTCACTGGGACGGATCGTGACGGGCCTGGAGTGGCCAGCTGGCTCCTGAAATTCCACACTACGTAGGATGCCTCCCAGACCCAAGCTGGCACCAGTGCCAAATCAAGGTACTGTGATAGTGGCAAGTGCTTCCTGTAAAATGCCATTAGGAACCTGGACTAAAAGTCCAGGAACCTGGACTTTTGTTTGCCAGGGAAAAGGGCCAGCACTGGTGTTCAGGGGCCTGTGGCCCAGAGTGGCTGGCTGCATGCTGAAAATTGTGCATCACACCAGATGTCTCCCAGACTCAAGCTGCCACCACCGCAAAGTCAGGCTGCTTTGTGAGTCTTAAGTGCCTCCTGCAAACCTTCCCCAGCTGTCCCTTGTTGTTAAGGGTTTTGATTGAGGGGAAAATCTCTCTTTTTTCATTGCTGGAGGGATTTAAATTGAGGAGAACCCTTCTTTTCACAATATTTTTGGAGAATAAATTAAAGGGCATAATTGGTTTATTTGCCATTTTATCAGTTTCAGTGGAGCTAACTGCCCTGGTTTCTCATTTTTATGGGTTCACTTGAAGGAAGCTCTGTCTTTTTCAGCATTTTAAGGATTAAAACATTCATTTCTGGGCACTTCTTTCTGTGCCTTTGGGCCAGCTAACTCAGAGAAGGGTGAGCCTAGCATGTACTTAACCCTTATGCTGCCCAGGAGTTTTGGGGTTTTTTTTTCTTATTTTTGTTTCTAATGTAGACAGGCCTAATTAGGAGTCCTAAGGAGACTTAGCCTATGTACATCATTAGTATTCTACTCCACCCTGCTTAGTGATATACTACACAGTAATCACCAAGGAATAATTATGAAAGTTAACAACAAATTTCCCAATTTATCTAGCTATGCTACCCAAACACAAATTTGTATGTCTTACCAGTTTTCTGTTCTTCTGCTCCAAGTAGTTGTTGTAAAAAAGAAAGCACTGTTACTTATCTGAAGAGTTTTCTTCCATAACAAGCCCTTTACTGCCCTTGAATCTGAGTCAGAGGAGCCAAACAGCTGCAGCTGCTCTGAGGGCTTTTATACCCGGTGGGAGTCGCCCCCTCCCTTTTCCTGGGTGCCAGGGGAACAAGAGGCGGGCACAATCAGGGGTATATTAACCCCAGCCTTGGCTGAGGGGCTTCATTCCCTCTCTGGGATGTGCTGGGGTAAGAGCCCTCCTCTCATTTCAGTGAAGAGGCTCTTTCAGCTGATCTCAGCTTCTTTTCAGCAAGTGTTTCTGGGCATCTAAAGCAACAGAGGCTTTGAAGGAACTGTGAAGAAAACAGCATGGAATAGAGGGAGTATTTAAGTTCACGATTTTGGGTTTTGTGTTTAGGGGTGGTAAAAGCTCATTTGTAATTTCTGGTGTTGTTCTTGGCGTTTTTTTGGTGGGTTTTGGTTTTATGGTGGGTTTTCTTGTTTGTTTTTTTGGTTGTTGTTTTTTTTAGGTTTTTTTTGGGGGGGTTGGTTTTGTTTGGGGGTTTGGGGTTTTTTTTTGTTGTTTTTTTGAGGAGTGCAACTCCCTGAAATTTTAGCTTGTGTCAAGCATAACACTTGTTTCAGCAGATTTGTCATGTCACAAAGGGGATCTAACCAGTGTCAAGGATGGTGCTTGAGATTGAGGCTTCAGATGAACTGAGGATGGTGGCTAGGAGGGGAGGGTGAGCAGGTATCCAGTTAGGAGTTATTGGGGGAGGGGGTGGTTTGAGGGCAGCAAATTGTGTCTATTTGAGACAGAGAAATTGTGTCTATTTGAGATGCATAGAAGCATATCAGAAGCACAGTAGAGGCATTCCCTTGTCTTACAGCACACAAGGTTATCTTCTGCACTCATAGGAATGCCATTTAACTTTGCCTTTCTCTAACCCAGGTGCCACTAATAATAAAGGCCACAGCCTTGGAATCAGGATGAAGCTGGAGCCTGAAGGAGCCAGGCACATTCAGGAGAGGGCAAGTAGCTGCCTTGCTGGGATTTGGCCCGCATAATTCTGAACTCATACTTTGGTTTTGGTTTTCTTTATTGTAGCTGACCGAGAGGCTCACAGGCCATCACGGGGCCCTCCGAGGCAGACTCATTTCAGGTGCAACGTGGATCCACATCACTGATCATCCAAAAGATAAGTCGGGGGCCACAGCCTAGAGATGGGAGAGTAGCAGGTTGGGAGTTCTTGGGCCAGATTTAAAAATTAGCAGAGGGAAAAACAATCTTCTCCAAGGGCCTCTTAGGACAGCTAAAGGGAGAGGCTCTACTTTTGATGGCAGCTTTCAGGCAGTGCAAACCAGCTCTGGTCTGTGTCTTGTTGTCCGGTGTGCCGTGTTTCCTAGTGTGTCTTTGGGATCCCTTTTGCCTTCTCCCCTCGAACCCCTCACCACAAGCATGATGTGTTGTGTTTAATGTCCCCCTGTTTGTCACGTTCTGTGTCACGGGTGTCTGCACACATTTGTGCCGGAGCTGTTCTTCCCTGCCGCATGGCCTGCTGCAATAGGACAAACCATGGGGAGTTGAAATTTGTAATGTGGGCTGTACTTGGGTTCTAGGTGGTATTCCTAGATTGACATAAGGTGTTTGCAGCTTGTGAGTTATTCTGCAGGTGTTTGACATATGTTCTAACTTTCTTTCAGGTGCAGATGCATCGTATCCGTGGCAGAGGGTCAGGGTTAGGAGATGCCGGGCCTTCTTAGGAGCACGGTGAGTAGCAGAGTGGTGGGGTTTTGGCCGATGCAGTGCCAAGATCAGGCACTGATGTTTGGTTTTCTTTAATACAGCTGTCTGAGAGGCAACAGCCCAGTGAGAGCAGGACCTTCCCAGCTGGTGAGGTGGCCTTTCTTTGCACCTGACACAGACTGGCATCCTCAGATGTCTGAGAGATAAGTAGAGGGCCGTGACCCACAGAGGGGATGAAGGCAGAGTGCTGGTTTGGGAATTACTGGGAGGGGTTTCTGAGTCCGCTTTGGAGGTGGGGGGTGTTCATGAAGTGGCCCCTTAGGCCCCATAAAAGCAAAGTCTCACTTTTGATGGCAGTGCTGAGGTGTGCAGCAGGGCAGAGCTGTCCCGGTGTGTCTCGTGTCACTTGTCTATTGTGCATTATGTGTTGTTTGTGTATCTCCTGTCCTTTGCCTTAGCCCTTTGAGGGCCCTGTCAGAAACCTTGGCATCATTGTTAGCATCTGTGATCTCTGCATTCCTTGGCCTGGCACCCAGGCCATAGAACTCTAGACTCAGGGGCTCAGACAGGTATCAGAATTCCATCTCTCTTTGGAAGCATCCAGTCAGATGTCTTTTCAGGTCTTGTTCTGAGCTGGATGCACAGCTATGCCCCGCCAGGATCTATTATGTCTGATTAGGACTTGTAAGAATGCGAGGTTAGGGAGAGAATTCTGACAGTAGGATTCCTAGGCATCAATCTTTGCAGTTCTTGGAAGAGATCATTCAGTTATCATCTTCTTCCACCAGGGTTTCCTGAGCCTCATCAGCTCACCATCGGTCTCAGCTCGGTCATCTTCTTTTGCAT